CCTGCTCCGTATTGCCAGGTACCTGGAAAGAACACCTTCTCCGACGGTCCATGAAAGCACAGTCCAACGACAGAACCTGGCACGTGTGCACAGGGACAGCAATGCCAGGATCAGTGGAACTGCTTGCGATACACATATACTTCTTCATGAGCATACACTTGCTCTACCCTCAAAAACAGACATGGACGTCGTGAGGCTGTGCCAATCCGTCAAACTGAACAGTGATGTGGTGGCCTTTGATGGCAATCACTTGTACCCACTGCTCCGTTCCGAGGCCACTGCCGCCGTCGATTGTCCACGCAGCATGACCTGCCCCGACTAGCACTGCAGCACTGCTCTCCAGGCACTGGCTGTCCGGTTACAGTCACTGGTCATTGTTTCAGCGATTCACTTGCTTTTTCCGCTCCATTGAAGTGCCCTGGGTTTCGTCAACCTCGTCGCACAAGAGCTCTTTTGGTTCGAAACCTAGCTTTAACAGCATTCGAGTTGAACTTTGACATGCGTCACATGTGGGGAAGAGGCACAGTGTTGACCTTGTCTTAACAACAGCTCTTCAAACTTGTCTACAGTCTGTGTAGTGATACGAGAGCCTGGAGAGTGTTTGTGACGGGCATCCCCATCGTAACTTCCGTCCAACATGGAGCTAAATGCCTGGTCCTTTTCGGCGTTCGTTGATGGTCAAATCACGTAGACCACGTTCTCTTGCCAGATGTTGACCGAGTCATGCTACAGACTTGGTTGTTACGATCGGTTGTGATCTTCTTCAAAAACAGCTGCTCCATTCACTGGTGGGAGTTGCAGGATGTCTCCCACAAACAGAACGTTCACCCACCAAACCACTCGTCTCGGGCAAAGATTGATTTCAAGTCAACAATACACTGTTTTTCATCTGCTGTAGGAAGCTTGCACTCTGAAGTGCACTTCCATCTTGACGGTTGTTGGGTTTTGGGATCTCTTTCACCCATTTCCTGTGCAAGAACACACCTTCCTTGCTCGTCCACAGGAATTGGAGTGGCTCGAGGTTCCCGAACCCAAATTTCCCTCTCAACGACATGCATCCCTTGTTCGTCAACAGGAATGGGAGTTTTTTGAGTTTTGCCATTGGCATAACTCTGGTCGTAAAAGTACGGCTCTGATGATGCCATGTGGCAACAATTCCCAAAATCATCGATTGAGATTTTGAGATTGGTAACCTTCCTCACACACGCCAGAAAGTTACCAACACTCTCTTTTATCTTTTTCAATGCTTTGCTCAGTACCTTTCGTACAGCAATGTTGTGAACAGCATTCTCCAGCTTACTAGCTTTGACCTTGATAGTACCTCTGTTGCTGGTGGCTTCAAAGGCACAGATAAGCTCTTTCGTAAGCTTTTTGGGAATAGCTTTTTTCATGATTTTCACATAGAGCTCTCTAGTATGCTGCTTAGGCTCATGTAACGAGTAGCTACAGCTGGCAATTTTCTGCTTTCTCTCTCTCATGTACTTCCTGGCACGAAGCACCAGTCTTGCTGCTCTTTTAGACAGGCCAGATGTACTATAGTATGCAGCCAATTTGTCTAAGAGCAAATGGGAGCGGTTTTCTCGGTAGTATTTTTGCATTGTGCTCTTTCGCTGCTCCTTGTTTTTGTCGTAATTATCTTTTGCATACTGCTTTTTACCCTCAGGGTTAGCTTTGTAGCTATCCCTTTTCTTTTGCGTTTTTTCTTCGGGGTTAGGTTTGTAACTATCCCTTTCCTTCTGCTTTTTAGCTTCAGGGTTAGCTTTGTAGCTATCCCTTTCCTTTTGCTTTTTAGCTTCAGGGTTAGCTTTGTAGCTATCCCTTTTCTTTTTGCGTTTTTTGCTTAGGGGTTAGCGTTGTAGCTATCCCTTTTCTTTTGCGTTTTTGCTTCGGGGTTAGCTTTGTAGCTATCCCTTTTCCTTTTGCTTTTTAGCTTCAGGGTTAGCTTTGTAGCTATCCCTTTTCTTTTGCGTTTTTCTTCGGGGTTAGCTTTGTAACTATCCCTTTCCTTTTGCTTTTCAGCTTCAGGGTTAGCTTTGTAGCTATCCCTTTCCTTTTGCTTTTTAGCTTCAGGGTTAGCTTTGTAGCTATCCCTTTTCTTTTGCGTTTTTGCTTAGGGGTTAGCGTTGTAGCTATCCCTTTTCTTTTGCGTTTTTGCTTCGGGGTTAGCGTTGTAGCTATCCCTTTTCTTTTGCGTTTTTGCTTCGGGGTTAGCTTTGTAGCTATTCCTTTCCTTTTGCTTTTTAGCTTCAGGGTGTAGCTATCCTTTTACTTTGCGTTTTTGCTTAGGGGTTAGCGTTGTAGCTATCCCTCGTGGCCCCTTTCTTTTCCTCGCACTTTAGAGCATATTCGTTTCGGCAAGCGCTCAGAAGTTTTCCTGAGTTTTTCTCATAATAAGCCCTCTGTGCTTCTCTTCTTTCACCTGTACTACATTGAGGCTCATTTGAGGCATTTTCCTTGTTTTCTTGGTAGTAAGCTCTCTGGTAAAGCTTTCCTTTTCTTATTCGTCAACAGCATCTTGCCAAACACGTGCAGGAGCTATAAGAATAGCTAGTCCGCGAATGGAACAGACCTCTATCAAGCACGTTATAATGCAGCTACTCATAAATATGTACAGTCTGTAATATCACGGTCGAATTGCACGGTAGCGTAAAGTGGCAATTATCAACCCCCTAAGGAACGGGTGACGTAACGTAGCGCTGGTACGACTTACGGAGTTTCTACGTTCACCTGCAAGTAGTTCACTTATCACGCTACCTTCGTATATAAAAATAGGTAGGAAATTCCGAACGCAGCTATAGCGCAAGAAAGCTCTTTACACGCGAGGTAAAATATCAATTATCGTTACCCAGTACCAAATAGCTAAACTTGGTCCCTCGTAGCAAAACGGGATTATGACACAGGAAAAAAACTGTAGCCTTTCCTCTACCTTTTCGCGCTGGAGCGATGTTCGTGCGCCGCTCCTGCCGCTCACAGCGTCCTCACAAAGACGCGAGGTCCAGCCCAGAATTCGTGCACGGTGCGCGTAAAACGATAAATGTGCGGAGCGCGTTTACCAACAATTACGGGTTACCAAGGAAACTCTCCAGACAAACAACATGGCTTCACCAGCTGATACTGCGACCAGAGACCGTAGCGGTAGCGCTACACGAGCTAGCGCTCTCGCAAGGCGATCAGGAGGGCCTAGCTGAGTTCCTGACGAAGTACTTCGCTCTACATATGAATTTTTGTAAAAACACAGTGTAGATAGAAACATAGCTAGCAATGCCTATAAATAACAGAGAGCTCAGAGGAAAGAGTGATGAGAGTGATGTGGAATGGGAGAGTGGTCCTCCGACAACTCCTGAACAGCCTTCACTCCAAGACAGCCTTGTGGAGGAGGAGCTAGAGACCAACCACAACGCCCGCACCTGTCGGAAAAAGAGCTGATTCTCTCTCTCCATTTCCCCTCCCTCTCACCCTCTCATAACTTTTTCGCTATATCCCTGTCATCTATCCCACCCTTAGCTGAAGTTAACCCTTTGGATCACTATAAAATGGTTGTGCGCTGCGTACTTCAGATTGGGGCAGTCTGCGCGAGTATCTGCCGTTTCTCTGATGTACGTAGATCTTACCTCAAGTCCTGGAAAATAGTCCTTCGTCCATGAGATCCTCTGATGTCCACGGTAGGCCTCCAGAACACCACACACACCACCAACCAAACAGCGTTGAATTACGTCATTATTACGCGCGGAAGTATACGGGAAACGATTTCCGGTGAATGCGCATGGACTACTACACGCATTACGCGTAACTATGGGCCACGACGCTTCCGTTTATAACGCGTGGCAGGAAAGGGCTACGAACGCGGGGCTTGCGTCATCGTAAAGCGCACATAACGCGCTTTCTAACGGTACCCGTAACGCAATTTCGCGAAAATGTATGTTTTCCCGTAGCGGGTCACATCTCTTTCACATCAGCTTCAGATAGTTCCAGAAAAATAGTTTACCACCAATTCTGTTGTCTGTGTGTGTGCAGGGGGAATAAAACCCGCAATATAATTATCCAAAACAATCCCGACATGTCACACAAAGGGAAGATAACGCGTGTGGTGGGTTGACACACGATACGCGCTCGCTTACCACAGAACAGTAGCACCGTATTGGAAGGAATATCGTTTTCAATTAGGTAATCGCCCAGACCATCGACGCTAAGAGAAGGTACGTCGGTCATGGCGTTGCAGGGTCTAAGGTCAAATTTTTAACACGGCACATGTGAATAATTGTGCACATGCGCATTCACATACGAATGGCGGCTACAGTGTGCTCCCTCTGCAGTTCACGGTCTCTCGTTATGGCTTAGTCCTCTTCGGCAGGACCTTGGTTACATTGCAAGTTTTAGCCAAGTAACTACACACACCGTAGAGTATAATGTTAGCTATACAGATACATACACTTTCAACTGCACTTGGTTATTGCCAATAACTCTTTTAAAATGCAGGAAGGAGTGGGGAAGCAATGCTTGGCAGAAGCTATTATTTGACAAACAAGAGGATAAGACAGGACTGATTTTGCTGTTGGAAAATCCTACCATGCGAATGCACAATAACTACAGCTACTCTTTTCGAGAACGCCTTTCTGATATATCAGATTGAATTTTCGTCAAAAAATCATCCCTTTTTTATAAATTATTGCCTATTATGACGAAGTAGAAACATGTAATCTTGGCTTCTGTATGACGAAGGTAGTTCTATGAAGGAGCCACCTATGTGTGCTATGGGTCTACGTGCCAGACCACTCAAAGAGTTGAATGTGACACTGATTCTGTTGTTTAGTAGCACTGAGCTCCCAGTGCTGAACCTTAGGAAACAGCACAGTTCTTCTTTCTTCATATTTCCAATAAACTGCTTTAGACCATCGAAAACTCGGACATGTCAAGCTCTTCAGGCTCATGAGGGGTAGCGATATAGACATCGTGCAGATCTCCTACAGAGTGACCAGACCAGAAAGGCTTTGGTATGCCTTCCCTAATCGCCCTTAGTGCTGCCAGAGGCTTGTCGTGAAGATTATAACAGCATATACTGAGAATCTGCCTCAGCAACTCATCTGAAGTTGTAGGTATTGCACGACAACCGTACCTGCTGAGTATCTCAACAATGGCAGCATATTGGGTGATGGCCACCTTACACTCCAGTGTCTCCTCCATAACAGCACCGAAGAGAGTGAATCAATATTAGAATGTTCGCTGGGATATTTATCTCTGGTGCTGAGGCCATTCCTTCCCGGATCCCTCGAGTTTACCACGAGCACGAGTCCTGCCTAAGAATGTGCATGGGGACCGCCAAACTTTACTATACAGTCTCTTCTATCCTAGCGCCTTATTACAGAACATATTAAATAGATAGACCTATTTGCGCCCCAAATACCTTATTTCGGGACTATGGGCACAAAATACCGTTGTTCAGTGGCGAAGATTTTTGTTACATTTGGCGTTCCATACTCTCGCACGTCGCTTTCAGAAATAGCAGCCAGTCACGCCTCAAGGCTACACCCAACTACAACTGGGAAACCCACTGGAGTACTTTAGCGCCCATTCTTGTAGCTGCCAAAAGAATGCAAAGTGACAAACATGATCAGGTATAATGATGACTTTAGCTAACGCTATTTATGATTGAAAAGGGTAGTAAGCTTCGAAGGCTGATCACAAGCATTTGTGACAGTAATTGAGCGCTTTCATGCTCCAACTGACTTACATGTCTTGTATGCACCTGCAAGAGACGGCAAAAGACGACATAGTAGCGTAGGTATAGAGATATTGAGGACACATGCAAGTACTCTTGTATGACAGTGCTAAGCCTAGATGTCGAAATATGGCCTCTACGAGAGAGAAAACTGTGCTGTGCACCACAGAAGCACACACTATAGATCGCACTACATCGCAATAGTGTATTTTCACGCTCCTGTATCGCTGCTGCAGTAAGTATTTAGATCTCATCTACTGTCCATAGAGCCTTTCTCAACTTCTTATGTACTATAATTATTTTGTTAGCCAGCTCAGGGGTCAAAGCTTTAGTCTTCAAAAAGGGCCGCTTTACGCAGCGATTCATGCACGTATTTACCATTGGTACTGTCCCAGCATAACTTCTCTCTCAATCTGCATATGCAAATTCTCGACAGAATCACACGAAGCTTCTTCCCCACTACACGCAGCTGACCGTGCAATAAATTTCGCGCATGTGCGCGTCGTCCGCTAAGAGTACATAGTTGGCGAGCTGGAGCAAGCCAACCTAATTTTGGAGAGTCGGATATAGGGATGACACGGGTGAAATCTCACGTGATCCTCGTACAAAACTAGGTGAGAATCACTCCCTAGGCCTTAAGATACCGTAACTATGATACGCCAAATCTCGGCAAAAAGCGGCTCAATCGACTCTCAGCGCTCAGTTCAACCGCACGACCGGCGGAGAAACGGATGTTTGTATTTCGCGCCTCGTATGACTCTGCGCATGGTCACTAAGCGCCGCAGCTCCTCAATAGACGCCGAACGTCATCGATAAGGAATATTCAGTAGGCAATAATGGCCGTGTGGCACACGACTCCAGCTTCCTATGAATGACGTAAGGTCATACTCAAAAGGGTGTGGCACTAACCCTGTGCGCATGCTAACTCGAGCTGCCCATCGGTGACGTAAGAAGAATTATGTCATCCCTGAAGGGTGTGGCTTGTCAGAGCTAGCGCAGTGCGCGTGTGTGTGTTGAATTATGCATAAGTGAAATCGGTATGCGTATGTGCATATGCGCATTGCAAAGGACGCATGTGACACTTGTTTCAAAAGAGAGAGAGTGCAGCACTGCAAATGGACTCGTCGAGCGCTTTCGGTGAGTTTAGAGGTAGTCTGTACGTGTTTAGCACAGGCAAAGAGGCGAATACAGTGTAAGGCATGCTAATACGCTCGCCTGCGCCCGTACCTTGCCTGTATAATGGGAGGGCTCACTCTTCTCTTCGCGCGTTGAAACATTATATACATGTGAACGCATCAAATGGAGATATCCAATCAGATCGCAGAATGGCCAATCAATGTCACGTGCATCGGTAGTCCGCAGATATTGGTTGTAGGTGGAGCCTCGCATGCATCACGTTACTGTACTGTGCATCGGATACTACGGATATGACGTCTGTAGGGCAGCTGGGGACGAGACTACCCTCCCTCCTCCCTCCTAGTCTGGCAGGGCCACATCCACGAGCACTAAGCTCGAGGTTTTGTGTGGATTAGTTTGTACAATGATGCCTACAGCTTGGCTAACTTGTTTTATGTGCATATTATAGCTTGGTGCAAGTGCAATATGACATGAGAACAAAACAGGCAATTTTAACATGGAACTGCTTATAATCTTGGAAGGAGAGGAGGGAAGATAGGGAGGGGTGGAGGAGGAAGGAGGGAGGGAGGGAGGGAAGGAGGGAGAGGGAGGGAGTACTCTGGGGGTGTAACCACACCCACGAGCGGCCCACAAAGCGTTGGTAAGCTTGATCGCAATTTGTACCCTGCTGTAGGATATTTGCAGATTGCAGAACGTCACTTCTAAAACGTAAACATAATAACGTTATATGATGAGTACATACAATTTTGCATCAGCAAACAAAGTGGTAGGTGTCCTTGTGCTTGCTGCATTAGACTACATACATGTCCTCACTTTCGTTGGCGAAGCAGTTTTGAGTTTCCACAAATATGTATGTGCCATAGTGACTGCCCTCCACCTTCTACTGTTGCTGTATTTGGTTATTGGTGGGAGTCTGATCCCATTGAACTCTGCACTTTTCCATGTGAGCTGCAACTATGTGTACCTCAATTTTTGTTGCAGGCAAGTGAATAAAATGTTATTTTCCTCTAGGCTGTTTGTGCCAAGAAGGTGGCTCGCAGGAGTCCGGAGAAGATTGTTCTGAGAAAGATTATTGTGAGAGTAAATATATTTTTGTTAGTAGTTCTGAGGGTGAGTCAGGAGGGGAAGGTTGGGAGAGTGAGTCAGAAGCAATTGACGATGACTCGCTCTACCTTCCCACACCTGACCGTCCCGTGGAGGTCAATTATATTGACTTGCCCAATAAGTTGTGTTTCCTTGCCTTACCTCAGGTGGGCAAGTTTTTAGACATGATCAATCAGGTTAGGGGCTGCAAAACCTCCGGGTGCAATGGAAATTTAGCTCCTACTGGTGTAATGTCTAAAGGGTTTGGTGGTTGTGTTTATGTATCCTGTCATTGTGATGGATGTGGGTCAGGAGGTGCATATTTTCAAACCTATATGAACCAACCTGGACGTACGAAAGATATAGTAAGCTAAGTGTCCAGGTTGCTTTCATTGTTGCTGGTAGTACTCACATGGGGTACTACAAAACACTGAAACATGCACTGGGCATTGATGTCGTAGCTTTCATGGATACGATTAGTAATATGTATCCCATAGTCAAGTCGATGCTGGACGAAATTTGTGAGGCTGCAAAACAGGGAATGAAAGATTAAAAAAGAAGACGAGCTCGGGTCATGGAAACGTGCAGTAACTATTGCTGATGGTACGTGGCAAAACACGTGGCTGGCATAGTAAAAACGCCACGTTCACCATCAGGAACTACCTCAACGGGGCTCTCCATCATGTCTGCCAAAGGGGCAGAGACAAAATGATAGAGGGAGAGTTGTACAAGGGCACGTCCAAATCTGCAGAAGGGTATGCCGCTCGGATAACGTTTCTCATGAAGTTAGGAGTGGTCTGAGCATGCTCAATTGTAAGCCACTAGAATGAATAAACTCTACTTGAAAAACCACAACTACATTAGCGCTATAAATGGGGCACCCAGTATGAGGAAGATCCAATCTCGGATGAGGTTCTCCTGCCGCCTTGTTATTGCACTGCATGGAATTTTGGGAAGAAGATAGAGGCAGACCTTAGGTAGAAGATAGACTGACATCCACAGCAGACTGGCGTCTATCGATCATCCTCCCCATCCCACCTTGAACAGTGATTGGTATATAGTAGCTGGAGAGAGGGAAATAGGGAGGGAAGGTCAAATTGTGTTACCAGTATTGGGTGTGGTTAGTGCCAGAGCTAGGCGCAGTGTGCATGTGTAACAAATCTACGCGTGTATGTGTATCTGCACAAGAGAGTCATATTTTTTTGTTCATTATGCCTGAAGGCCTCCCTCTTTCTCCCCTTCTCTCTCTGTCTTTCCCTCCACGGCAATCTACATTAGGCCCCATTCTCATACCCTCTTTCTTCGTCCTTTCCCTCTGTCCCTCCCTCTGTCCCTCCCTTTCCCTTCCCTCTCTCTGTTCTTTTCTCTCAATTTTTTTCACTCACATGGTTACCGAAACTCTATAGTGTTCTTATGCATAATGTAGTTAGTACACTGCATACTAAGTTCGTGTGGTTTCACTTCCATAGTACATGTATATAGGTATGTACGTATTTCATGTGTGTCCTAATAGGGTGTCTTCAGGTCTCAAGTTTCATGTGTCTTTCCTGATAGCACACCGTATAGGTTGTACATGGCTGTCCTGATAGCACATCCTATAGGTTGTACATAGCTGTCCTGATAGAATGTCCTGTGGGTCAAGATTCATGTGATTGTCCTAATGATACGTAGGTCAAGCTTCATGATGCCTGTCCTGATGGTGTGTCCTATAGGTCAAGCTTGTGTCTGTCCTGACGTGTCCTATAAGTCAAGCTTGTGTCCCGCAGTCGTCTGGCCCCATGAGTTGTAGTGCTTAGGCATGCTCATGAATCTACTTGGGTATTGACAACAATAACTGCTGCAGGGTATTGGTGGGACCTGAGCGGCAGAGTTGGTTGTAGCTTTTGCTACCACGTTTTATGCCACCACAAACTACAAAGCGGACGAAAAGCAATACCAACCAATGGCTTTAGTGCTACACTGGCAACATCCACGTTTTGGATTACCGCACACAGAGAGGCGATCCCAATCATTCAAGACTGCACCGACGTGTGAATTCGGGTTAGTGAATGAAGAACATCATGTAATTTCTACATGTGTAAATTGTGTGTGCAAATAATTCAGTTCCACTCAAATAATTCAGTTCCACTCAGATATCTCCTACACCTCTTCCTCCTCCTCAGCAGGGCACCTGTCATTCCATAGTGTCTTTACATATGTGAACATATCTTCTACAAGTAAATAAAAAATCCTGCGAATTTTAAAAAAGAGGCATATAGGGAAAAGGAGACAATATAGGGATGGCATATAGATGTCCTAAAGATAGGGATAGGATACATGAAGCATGGTGTATGAACACATTTGAGTACGCTTACACCCAGACCCCATCACATAATCCCTATATTGTTGCCTGGTGTGCTACTCTTATAGGGAATGTCGCATTGTAATTGTAAGGGCTAAAAGCAAGCATCCTTTCACCGTGTCCCTGTTGTTTTAAGTACTGCCACATTCCCTAAAATTAAACTCCACTTGGACTCTATAATGGTGTTGGTTACTCAGTAGCATGACTTTTTTGTAGTATAACCTCTGAGTATTGTAATGGTGAATGTGTAATACTTCACCTAGGCAACAATATAGGGATTATGTGATGGGGTCGGGGTGTCAGCGTACTCAAATGTGTTCATAAACCATGCTTCATGTATCCCATCCCTATCTTGAGGACATCTATATGCCATCCCTATTTTGCCTCCTCTTTTTATGCAATTCCTATATGCCTCTTTTTTTAAATTCGCAGGATTATTTATTTACTTGTCTCCACTTATTTTTTGGCCTGTCACGAGAGAAGATAGATTATAATTTTATGCCATCCCTATAATTATTTGCGCATGATTTTTTATTTACTTGTCTCCACTTATTTTTTGGCCTCTCACGAGAGAGATATGTCAAAGATGGATTATGTCAATGATAATAATAATGATATAATATACAAGGGAGATGATGAATATAGTAGATGATTAAATACAGTTTTAGTACTTGTAATAAAATACTTCATTCTTTTTAAGTCCTCCCATTCACCCCTTCCACCCTCTTCTCCTTCCTCCCCTCCATCCTCTTCCTCTTCCTCCCCTCCATCCTCTTCCTCTTCCGCCCCTCTGCCCTCTTCCTTCTCTGCCACTCCCACTCTCTTCTTGCTCCTCCTCTCTCCCCTCCCCCTCTATCTCCTCCCTCTGTCCTCCCCCCCTGCCCCTCCCCCTCCCTCTTCTCCTCTCCTCCTGATGTCCCTCCTCTCTCCCCTCCCCCTCCATCCCCTCCCTCCCGTTTCCCTCCCTCTGTCCTCTCCCCCTGCCCCTCCCCTCCCTCTTCCCCTCTCTTCCCTCTCCTGTTTAATAATCCATTGTTTACACCTATCCTCATTAATTTCTGTACTTGTTCTCTTAGCATTATTAATTCCCTAACCACCTCTGCCAATCCCACCCCTGCATTGGAAAGACTAGTATAATGTACTGCAGCATTACTATAATAATTTATAGCTAGACTCACTCTGTTCCATCACTTGGACTTGTTCCATTTGCACTGCACAAAAGTAATGTTTTAGTCAGTGTTTATTAGTTTCACAGTAAAACAGACCTTGCTGTTGGGCCATTTTTCGCGTTACTAAGTACTACTGCCCGTACTTAGTGATTTTGTTTTTCGCGGGTGTAGATTCCATTAGATTCAAGTTACACAGGTGTGGTGTATATTACATAGGCCATAACTGCATTATGGGTTACTCTCTCATTGAAACATCTATCTGTGACTTCTAACACTCCAGAGTGCCAATCACTTTCATTGCCTTCACACTAGCCTGTTGGATATGAAGAGACCAACTGAGATCACTTGTGACTAAGTACTTATAGCTGTTTACCAGCTCAAGTGACTGACCACCAACAGTCAAGGTTGGATACGGCTCTTTTGCTCTGATATTATCATGTAATCTTTGTCTCATTAAACTTCATTGCATTTTCAACTGACCACAACTGAATCTTGTCAATGTCATTCTGCAAGTCCAATACGTCATAATTTGTCACGATATCCTTATATCATCTGCAAATAGACATAGCCTCGTTCCCTCTGATAGATGGATATGTCATTGATGTATATTGAGAAGAGTAGTGGTCCAAGAACAGAGCCTTGTGAACCCCTGAGATGACATAAACAGATGAAGATTCCTTTCCATTAACAACTACGAACTTCTTCCATCATGTGCCTTCATGGATCAAGATCCTTCCTCCATTGCCCTACTCACTCTACCTCCTTGGCTGATATGAACATGGATCCGGCCTGCGCCGAGGGGGAGGTCTTACCTCATTTAATTCTAGCACATTATCAATATATATTTCTTTTACTTTCCCTTTTTCTCTCCAGTCGTTTTACTTTCAACTGCACTGTTGTAATCTGTTTGAAACACCAGGATCATGGGTAGCTACACACGATCTCTCTTTTGCATTCAAAAGTTATTGGGCAGTCAAGTAGCTACACACAATCTCTCTTGTTTCTTGCTCAAAAGCTATTGGGCAGTGGAGGTGTGTAAATGAAATATTTAGTAGGTTCTTTTTAAAAACATGCTGTACAAATATTCCTGTAGGAGAAAGGTATCATCCTAAAATATGTATGCGCATTAAAAGTAGATGTACTGGCCATCTCTGTCTTCACTACATTTCCCGTGATAGACTAAAATGGAAGCGGCGCCAATGCAAGTAGCACAAGTAGCACTCCGAGTCCCTCTTGGTCCGCAAACGCTTGCCTAGCAACTTTTCTTTCACAGCAGTTCGAGATGCTCCATGGAAACGCACTGCAACGTCGGGTAGCTATCTCGCGGGGGGTAAAATTTCCCTAGGGCCTCGATACTGTAAGTATTGGACTAAGTAGGGCTAGGGCCTAGGGCCTCGATACTTAAGTATTGGACTAAGTAGGGCTAGGGCCTAGGGCCTCGATACTTAAGTATTGGACTAAGTTGGGCTAGGGCCTAGGGCCTCGATACTTAAGTATTGGAATAAGTAGGGCTAGGGCCTAGGGGTATGACGGAGTGCTCTTTTGTCCTTTTGAGGTAAATATATGTCCTATTTGTCCTCCGAGGCCATGGGAGTCCTCTGGGCATCCACTGACTTTTCTGGAGTCCTCCCATGACCTCCGTGGCCCCGGACAGGTCCTATGGGTATCCTCCCACTTCTCCGGATTCCTCCGTCGCCCCGGACAGGTCCTCCGCGGCCCTCCGGAGTCCTGTCGGGGTCCGATTGTCCTCCATTTTCCCAGTCAGTGTCCTTCCACTCTCCCCCCTAGGTCGTACGGCGCGTCGAGTTCAGTGGGGCCAGCTGATGAGTCCTCCCACACAAAATATACAGGACGAAAACCGCCCGCTTCGGGCGGTTTCTGGCCGGGTGATGGTCGGCCCGACCACGTGTCTTCCTTAACTCCGACACCAGTTCAAATGTGGGCTAGGGCTAGGACTAGGGCAAGAGTATGCGAGGGCTTAGCCTTAATTAAGGCTAGGGCAAGATAGTATCCCTAATTAGGACTAGGGTAAGAGTATTCGACGGCTTAGCCTAGTGCCATGAGAACTGGACTACGGCTAGGGCCACAGAACTCATTATTTGTAATAAGGGCTAGGGCTACGGTCATGTAACTTAATAGCGATTCTGGCTACAAGATAGGGCCACAATACAGACAAGTAAGGCTCAGTCTAGCTATCTGAAGCTAGGGCTGGCAACATGATACCAACGTATTGGAGCAATTATTGCTAGGGCTAGGGCCGCATGTATCTTGGGGCTAGGGACACAATACTTAAGTAAAATACGCCTGAGCTAGAGTTGGAGAAATATGGGCCAATTGCTGATGACGCGCACATGGGTGAATTTACAAGGTCGATGGTTTGGTAGTGGGAAAGACAGTGCGTGATTCTCTCTGGAGTTTGTTGCCTTACAGGCCATATTATTTCGACATCTAGGCTTACCACAGTCCAGTACTTGCATGCGTCTAAAATATATATAAATATACTACCCATACGTTTTTACTGCATTTGGGGCAGAAGTTTTACTACCTTTGGAATGTTTCGATTAAACACTTAGTCGTGGGAGAAGGTGGCCTGAGAAAGATACACTCACCCAAATATGTGACATGCCCACTTTTGTCCCAATGTCCTCCGAGCCCCAAAGTCCTCCATTTGGGGCAGAAGTTTTACTAACCTTTGGAATGTTTCAATTAAACACTTAGTCGTGGGAGAAGGTGGCCTGAGAAATTAATGCCCACCCAAATATGTGACATGCCCAACTTCGCCCAAATATCGTCCAAGCCCCAGAATGTCGTCCGGGGCACTGTCCTCCAATGTCCTCTGGGGGAGGGCTGGGGCAGCGTCCTCCGGTCCTCCAGGGTTCCAACGTCCTCCGGTCCTCCAGGCTAGGGCTAGGGCTTAGTGTCCTCCAATGTCCTCATGTCCTCCAGGGTAGGGCTAGGGCTCAGTGTCCTCCTGTCCTCCAGGGCTAGGGCTAGGGCTTTGTGTCCTCCAATGTCCTCCTGTCCTCCATGGTAGGGTAGGGCGAGTGTCCTCCTGTCATACAGGGCTAGGGCTATGGCTCCAATGTCCTCCTGTCCTCCAGGGTAGGGCTAGGGCTGAGTGTCCTCCGGTCCTCCAGGGCTAGGGCAATGTCCTCCAATGTCCTCCTGTCATACAGTGCTAGGGCTATGCCTTAGTGTCCTCCAATGTCCTCCGGCTATGGCAGGTGTATACAAGACCTGGAAGTCAGTTGGAGTATCAAAGCGCTCAACTTCAGTCAGAACTGCCTGTGATCAGCCTTCTAAGCTTACTTCCTATTCATTCATAAACTAAAGTCTTTGTATCACTATACTTCATGCACAAGATTTGTCGCTTTACACGGTTCGTGTGTAAAGGTGGTTAGTCGTTTTACCAGCCAAAAAAACGCCACCCAAAGGCGCTAAAGTAGTCCAGGGGGTTTCCCAGTTGTAGGTGGGTGAGGCGTGGCAAGCTAAAAGAGGGCTAAGTAAGCACAACGCGTTTGCTTGTTACAGCGTCTGTGACATCTGTCCATACGGCAGGGTAATTGCTGTCACATACGCTGTGACATACGTCTGCAATGAGTTAAGCAAATATATAGGGACATGCTTACTTAAGTAGTGTGGGAATTAGTGGTTTTAGGTAGGTCTAGGTTCGGGCTAGGTTCGGGCATAGGGAGGTCTAACCATTGACTATAATTTTGGCTACAGATAGAGCCTCCGCATAGAAAGAAAGTTGTATGTATGAGGTTTAAACATACGAGTCTTTGTTACACTTTTAAGCCTACAAGTGGGGCAATTAGGGCTGAGCGTCCTCTGGGGCAGTGTCATGGAAGGGCTAGGCTGATAGTCCTCTGGGGCAATGTCCTCCGGGTGCTCTTTATACGGCTATATGTCAGTTCGAGGAGGAAAAGCCAATAGCTGGCAATAGTTGTGATGTGAGTGCAAACAATGAGCCAATAGCTGGCAATAGTTGTGATGTGAGTGCAAACCTGATATCATGAGTGAAAATGCCGAACGCCTCACGATGGTGCGAAGTTTGTCTTGAATGTTTTGTGGCGGTGCGGTCTATTGCAAACAGATTCAGAAATTCCCGGCAGTCTGTCAAGGTGGGTATTTCTTTGGCATCGATCTTTCCCTTGAAGTAGTGGGATATGTCGTATGTCTCTTCCTTAGTAAATCGTTTTCGTTTCAGTGATTTACCGAGTGGCAGTGTTGGCCGCAGACTTCTCTCTGGGCTTGGGGTTGGGCTTGGGCTTTGGTGGCTCTCCCGGCTCGGTAGACTCTTCGGTCTCTCCCGGCTCTTCACCGTCTGCCTGGGGAGTTTTTTTGTTCTCCCCCTCTCTCCCCTCCCGCTCTGACCCGGCGTTTTTTGCTTGATGGTAGAGTTGGCCGGCTTGGACTTCTCTCCGGGCTTGGGGATTCACTCCCCGGATTCTGCCCACTCTCCCGGCTCTTCGCCGTCTCCCTGTTGGGTTTACGCACAGCCTCTTCTTGCGCAGACTTCCCACTTGTGCTCATCTCTCGTCTCTCTCTCTTCCTTTTCCACAGGGTGTGTGTGTCTTGTTCTAGGCTCTCTTCTTGGAAAGACTTAGGCGCTTACTCTTGGATGGAGGCAAAGACGACGGACCGGAGCCTCCCTTTCCCGGATTTGCCCGCTGCTCAACATGGCGCTTTCTCGTAAGTGGCGTTAAATCAGTCCAATCTTCCATTCCCAACGAAAAAAGGTCGCTAGAACGAGCCACCGCTGAGGCCGTCAGAAGCGAAGGAGACACAACCGGCACAGCGCTCACGTCCGCCATTCTTCCCGCCAGTGTAAAATTGGCTGTTTGACGTCACGTTACCATAGTAAATACTGCTTCCGGCGTATTAATTGGCAATAAATCAATTATAGCATGCCTAGTCGGAATGTTGCGGTTTATTCCGCCCTCCCCCTCGGGCGTCGGGCGGAATAAACCAGCAACATACCTCCTAGGCATGCTATAACTAATACGTATTGTCTGGGGCACTTTTGTGTTGTTTACAGTAATTTACAAACAAAAAAGTGTGACGTTGCCCATGTGGTTATCGATACAAAATTTATTGGCTTTATCCCTTTCGGTTTTTCAGTTATGCTGGTTGAACAGGAAGAAGAAGAAGAAGATTAACCCCATACATCTATGATGCTAGGTACCATGTCAATCCCTATATACTAAGTACTACCATACTTAGTGATAGGGATGACACAGGTTGTCCTGCATTCGGGTTTCACTTTCTATTTCAATCAGATCCAACTTTTGACACATGAGACTAATTTGTATCGTCACAAAGAGCATGTATCGCATAATCGGTACTTGATTTATTCAAAAAATTCAATTTTCTTGTTGTTGTTGTTGTTCAGTTTCAACAAGGGTATCTCTAAGATAAACTTTGCACAAAGATTGGAATCCATGACAGGTCGTGCAAGAGCATTTTGTAAACAACAACAAATAGCCCCAGGTAATACGTACATTATTATAGAGACAAATAAAGTGTGCTAACTGGGTAAAGCTAATACCCAGAGTGATACACACATTTAGTAAACATTACAAGTTTGTAAACAACTACACTGCCTCAGGCAATAAAACCTTGTAAAATGTGATTGTGATGGTGGGTCCTCTAACAATGAAACTTGGTACACTGATGAGAGTTCATCGAAACAGAAATTACAAGTTAGTAAACAAGCCTCACGCAATAAAAACTTGTAAACTATATTATATAACAATGAAAATTGGTACACTGATGTTCCATGGTAAGAGTTCATCGAAACAGAAATTACACAACAACAACAAACAGCCTCAGGCAATACTTGTAAATGATGTTTGTGCCTATAACTTGCTTATGGTGGGTCCTCTAACAATGCAACTTTGTACATTGATGTATATACCATGATGAGAGTTGATTGAAACAAAAATTACCGTAAACAACAACAAACAGCCTCAGGCTCTAAAACTTGTAAACTATTATTATTACGCTTATGGTGGCACTTCTAACAATGAAAATTGGTACACTGATATTCCATGATAAGAGTTCATAAAAACAGAAATTACAAGTTAGTAAACAACAACAAACAGCCTCAGGCAATTATTACTTGTAAATGATGTTTGTGCCTATAACTTGCTTATGGTGGGTCCTCTAACAACGAAACTTGGTACAATGATTTACTACGGTGAGAGTTCATTGAAACATAAATACTTCAGCCTCAGGCAATAAATGATGTTTGTAACTTGCTTATTGTGGGTCCTCTAACAATGAAACTTGGGACACTGATTTACTATGATAAGAGTTCATTGAAACATGAATTACAAGTCAACAAACAGCGCCAGGCAATTAAAAATCTGTTTTCCTATACTTTGGAACTGAAATAAAAATGGAGATGACGACTAAGAGTCCGAGGCAATACATACATGTTACTTTTCATGCCAAGGAAAGGTGACAAGTAAATAAAAAATTATGCGAATTAAAAAAGACAAGACAGGGATGACCTAGTGTATGTGATGCATTAGTACAGTGGGATGATGGTTACATTTTCAAACTGACATTGCTTGCTCGTGTAAATCTTCCTCCACACAAGCCCTATATTGTCGCCACTTTTCTCACAACATCAATTTGTTTAGTGTGAGGACAATGGTGAGGCTGAGACACATAGATCCACTCGTGCATAAGAAACGAGTCATAGCTGCACATCATACAATAGAGATCACTCGTGCTAGCAAGAGATTTTAATGACAGCCGGCACTCTTTAGTTGAGTCCCCTCTCTCAAGCATATTAAGACCAGTCTGTAAAGGGATTCTCTGGCGGGCCATGAACAGAGCATTGTAAAACTCATCGTTAGTTTAGCGAACACCGATGTCTTAGACTGCACACAATCCAGTCACAACCAAAAACTGAGGAGCTGTCAGAGAGGGCAACACCTGTGCATCACGTGCTTAAGAGAGGAGTCATTCTATGAGGGAGCACAGTCATGCTTTGCGACAATATAGGGCTTGTGTGGAGGCGAGCAAGCAATGTCAGTTTGAAAATGTAACCATCATCCCACTGTACTAATGCATCACATACACTAGGTCATCCCTGTCTTGCTCCCTGCTTTTTATGGCATCCCTATATTCCACACTTTTTAATTCGCAGAATATTTAATTTACTTGTTATGTATTGAGAATCCTATGTACGACGCATTCATGATTCATGCAGTATGTGTAGTGTGCATATGTAGTGTCTGTATACTCTCGTGTCTATTCCGTATATCCTGGTATAATGTGTATGCCTTGTACGAATGATCAGTCTTTGCCTGAATCAATACGTGACAAACATGAGGTGTCTGTCTCACCTCCAAGACACCTCAACTCACCCCTTCCACCAGTGACACCCTGCAGCTCCCCAGACGCAATCTGAGACTGGGTCTGTTGTAAGCGGGGATTATTGCCGTATAACCTAACCTTTCTTAGCTCCCAAAGATCCAAAATAAAACCTTTAACAAGGCCAAGCAAAGAAACAAATTTATCCTCCCACAGCTCACTACCCAATATACGCACATTGTGCCTGTGTAGGTGGAGTGAGTGTCGCACAGTGCGCCTGTGTAGGTGGTGTGAGTTTCGAGTTCGTGTGACAATAACGAATTAACACAAACATATGGCTTACATGAAGAAGCGTTTGTCTTTTCATGCAGATGCAGCCTATCGATTTTACCGCTCACGGTGTGAAGATGATTCTGCTAGACGAAGAGGGAAGATTCAAAGCAAAAACAAGATCAAACGAAAGCACGAAAACGTAATTAGGGTGAGATATTATCGATGTTTATTTTTGGCTCAGATGCCCAGTTTGAACTTACCATTGGTAGCAGTTTACTTCCTGCTATTAAAACTGATGCCTCCAGCAAAAATGGTTACCTTTTCTGTCTTTCTTTTTCTATCACTATTTATAAAATTTAACGAGAGAAAGGCTAAGGCTCGAAAACGGAATTATAAGTCAGAGGAAGAGAAGGAAACCTGGATGACGATCATAAATTCTACCCTTATGTCAAGGAGAGGAAGTAATTATTGTACACCCGATTCCCTGGGTATCTGCTGATGTTGTTGCCTTCAAAAAAACTCGAAGAAATTGCGAAGAAGAAAAGTCCACAGGCCTGTCGTCGTCGTGTTCTTGGATCCTCATCAAGTAGACAACGTCCTACAAGCAAACACTACCTCCTTGGGTATTTGTGGAGTGACTTTCCGATAAGGACTTTCAATATTGGACTCTTGATATCCATTTATTGAAGGTTTGTAATAGCTCCAGGAAATCTTCTCTCTACATGAGCTAGAAGGCAGAGGAAAGGTGCACTGTTTAGATGTCCTACTTTCAGGAAATGTGCTGTAAGATGAAATGGTGGTAGTAAAGGACACGCACTGTCTACATGATACGGTGGTAGGTGAAGGACATGTGCTGTCTATATGACGTGGTGGCAGTAAAGGACACGAACTGGACATTTGCTGTCTATTTGACATGGTGGTAGTAAAGGACACGCACTGACTACATGATACGGTGGTAGTGAAGGACACATGCTGTCTATATGACATGGCGGTAGTGAAGGACATGTGCTGTCTACATGACATGGTGGCAGTAGAGGACATGCACTGTCTATATGACATGGAGGTAGTGAAGGACATGTGCTGTCTACATGACGTGGTGGCAGCATGACGTGGTGGCAGCATGATACGGTGGACATTTGCTGTCTATATTATGACATGGTGGTAGTGAAGGACATGTGCTGTCTACACTCAGGTAAGTTAAGGACTGGGCCTTCCGTTTGTCGCTCGAGTACACATACCGCGGTTTGAAATTACATGTCAATGCGTGGGCGCGCCACGTTGAGTCCTCCCAGCCGCGCTCGTACGGTGCGAGGCCCCGGCGAGAGAACGAGCGACGACCCGCCGGCACCAAGCAGAGCTTGGTTAGTGTCGTACCAGACCCTCTCTCCCGTCTGAGAGGGTATGGTACCGAGACTAGAGCTAAGGCTAGAGGGGCTGCTGGTACCTGGGGTTTCTCGGAGCTGATCGTCACACGCACACACGCGAGTGAATTTCCGATGAATCACGTGACGCTGTTTAGAAAGATGGCGATGGCCGGTAAAGTCCACCTTTGTCGAGGCGGAGTAGTTAGTGCTACGGCAATATTTAAGATAGGTATACCATCGGTTTGTAATGTATCATTTTGGATTGAGATTGAAAACGGATTGGCAGAGAAACACTCGGGAGTAGCTCCGACCAAGGTACTGTTTTTTGCGTTTTTCGCCTGTTTCTCGCTTCTGGTGCCGCGGATCTCTATCCAAAATTGATACCTACTAGATAAATCCTCTAGGTTTTGTTAGGTGTGGACTTCGCTGCCCATAACCAGCGTTTTCATGACCGCCTTTTTCGATATTGTCTGGGGAGCGACCGCTACTAAGATTGTGCTATCCCATGGATGCGGAAGTGGGCGTGGTCAATGTAACCACGCCCATTTGCGGTTTAATTGAGCTTTATATCAGGCTTTGTTTGACTTCGATGTAACCTTCAGTTGGCTCAAATCTTTTACTCCAACTCAGTTTTTTATTTCAGCCGATTTTGCTTGACCCAGTCCTTAACACACCTGAGAATGACGTGGTGGCAGCATGATACGGTGGTAGTGAAGGACATTTGCTGTCTATATTATGACATGGTGGTAGTGAAGGACGTGTGCTGTCTACATGACGTGGTGGCAGTAAAGGACATGCACTGTCTACATGATATGTAGTAGTGAAGGACATTATGCTGTCCATATGACGTGGTGGTAGTAAAGGACACATGCTCCCTATATGACATGGTGGTAATGAAGGAAATGTACATGGCTGATAACATGTTCTACTTTCAGGAAATATGCAGTGTGCATGAGATGACGATAATAAAGGAATATGCAGTTCAAATGGGATGGTGGGAGTAAACAACACACGTGTTCTTGATGAACAATCCTACATTCAGGTTACATAAAAAGATGCTCTGTCGAGTATACATGCTAGGTGCAGGTGATGGTTGTATTTCCTCCATATAGTTCAAACCACAGGGAGGTGAAGATTAGCTGATCTGACGTGCAACTTTCACTAGTATAGGAAATCCTTAAGTTCTTCCAGTGCTAATTGTTCATTGGAGCGGATTTTTCTATTTACTACTAGGAGAATGCATGACATTTTTGGCGAGCGGGAGCGAGCACACAATTGTATCTGCACAAGCCATCATAGCCGCGTGTAGATATCCTGACACATGCGCAGGTAGCACGTGTGGAAAAATTGGAAATGATTTCGGAGCGCGTAACGAAGCCGCACATGCGTACTTACATGATGTATGCGGTCGTATATAAATAAAAATTGCACCGTTTGGATAACTAGGTTAGCTCGCTCCCGCTCGCCAATTAATCGTCTGTGTCCACCGTCACCGTACACCATGTAAGTACGCATGTAACAATAGACCATGTGATGCCAAGAGAAAAAAGATGCGGAGCTCTGGACAGCTGTTTCGGGGCTTGTTAGCCCTCATCAGCAAAGCATACCGCAACTTCTCTCTCTGGCATCACGAGTTTATAAAGGCAGAGTTGAGCGCAGCACTTGTGGTTTTGAACTAATGAGATTCATCCCCACAAGGCTTTGCTCAGGCGGCCCACAAGGCGTTGCCAGTATGAGCCAAAACCGCACGGCTTCATTACATACATGCACGTGTGCTAGTCTGACAATTGTGGCAACAATAGATCACAGAGGATGCCCTTCATCGTTGAAGAGAGCGGGAAAGAGAACGCCGTGCCCGTGAGACTCCTGATCAGAGATAGGTTGCGTGATAGGGAGCGCCTCGCCGCCGAAACAGCGAATCACGACTAGCGAGACATCATGTACGAGATAGAGCTAGACGCGCTGCAGAATCAGGGGAAACGGAACAGGCCAGGATCGCACAGCTTCGAAGCTATCAGGCAAGGTGAATTGCTGCCGACTCCAGCGAGGAGACGCCCGCCTGCAACAAGTATCCAAGAATCAAGAGCAGAGAATTGCTGCCGAGTCCAGCAAGGAGAGAGGCCCGCCTACAGCTGGCACGATGTAACCAACAACAACGAATTGTCCACAAGAGACTGAAGCAAGACGTCAGCATGACCGAGAGAGTCACGTGCAGCTGGAAGTACTGCCACTTCAACCCAGCCTCAACTTCGCCAGCTAATTGTGCAATCAAAGATAAGCCAGTTCCATTCTTAAATGGCATCTTTGCACTTGTCCCTGTGCATCACCTGCCGTGAGAGGTTCCCTGGTTTGACTGTCCGGATGACTCCATCTGGTACAGAGGGTTTACGTTGTGTTCGAGACAAATACAGTCCTAAAGATTGAACAACATGGACCCTGCACAATGACTGGTATGTTGTTTTCTGTTTGTATATCTGACGTAAGGAAGCTAGTCTAAAGAATTGCGCCACAATCTCGCTTGCTTCAACAGGAGGCAGATTCTACGTAGCAGCAGCTCTAGTGTCGTTTTTGTATTCTGTTCAGCTTCTTCTGATAATATAACCACTACCTGAAAAATATACGCACAAACCACATGATGCATCAGCATACCTTCTCTGCACACCTGTTGGGTCGCTCCCGCTTGCCAAAAATGCTTAGATAGTATATCACCAAGTACGGTAGTACTTAGTATATCACTAAGTACGGTAGTACTTAGTATATAGGGATTGACATGGTACCTAGCATCATAGATGTATGGGGCTATGATAGGGAGTTTTGTTCATCTTCTTCTTCTTCTTCTTCTTCTTCTTCTTCGACCAGCGTAACTCAAAAACCGAAAGAGATAAAGCCATGAAATTTTTAGGAATGTACATATCGATAACCACATGGGACTCATCATACTTTTTTGTTTGTAAACAATGTTGTTTACTGTAAACAACAACAACATTGCCCCAGGCAATACATTATAATGGACAATACGTTATAATGGGCATACTACATGTGTCAGTGTAACTCACAATTGGTAAGAGTTATGCGAGTGAAAGTTTGTATACACAATGTATTCAATAGCCAACATCAAACTCCCAACAATACATGTTTGTAAATAACAACAAATAGCCTCAGGCACTTTTCTTTAAATTAACTTCTTCACTTCTCAAACTTTCCAATGGTAGAACGCATAGAGATGAAACTTGGTACGTATGCCTATTATATCATTTCCATGACGATTACATGTTTCCATGACGACCGCATATTGTTCGAAAAGGCCTCAGGCAATTTTCTTTAAATTACTTCTTCACTCCTCAAACTTGTTAATTGTAGCACGCATGGAGGTGAAACTTGGTGCGCATGTGTATTACATTGTTTCCATGACAACTACAACAACACATAGCCTCAGGCACTTTTCTTTAAAATTACTTCTTCACTCCTCAAACTCGCTATCAGTATCACGCATGGAGATGAAACTTGGTGCGCATGTGTATTACATCGTTTCCTTGACGACCACAACAACAAATAGCCTCAGGCACTTTTCTTTAAAATTACTTCTTCACTCCTCAAACTCGCTAACAGTATCACGCATGGAGATAAAACGTGGTGCGCATGTGTATTACATCGTTTCCATGACGACCACAACAACAAATAGCCTCAGGCAATTTTCTTTATAATTACTTCTTCACTCCTCAAACTTGCTAACTATAGCATGCATGGAGGTGAAACTTGGTGCGCATGTGTATTACATCGTTTCCATGACGACCACAACAACAAATAGCCTCAGGCATTTTTCTTTATAATTACTTCTTCACTTGTCAAACTTGCACGCATGGAGGTGAAACTTGGTGTGCATGTGTATTACATCGTTTACATGACGACCATAACAACAAATAGCCTCAGGCAATTTTCTTTAAAATTACTTCTTCACTCCTCAAACTTGCTAACTATAGCACGCATGGAGGTGAAACTTGGTGCGCATGTGTATTACATCGTTTCCATGACGACCACAACAACAAATAGCCTCAGGCACTTTTCTTTATAATTACTTGTTCACTCGTCAAACAACGGCAGCACACATGGATGGTATGCATTTCATTTCCATGACGACAATTTTTCTCTATTATTAATTTTTATAGGGGCTTGCCCCCTTCAATACGTAGTAGTATATAAAAATGAGTGGAGACAAGTAAATAAAAAATCCTGCGGATTAAAAAAAGAGTGCATATAGGGATCGTATAAAAAGACAAGATAGGGATTGTGTTTGTGGAAGCACAGAGATGCTAGCGAGGAGTTAGGACTCCCACAGGTCATTACAACAGCCCTATATCGTCGTACGGTGGGAATACGTAGCATCATAGATGTATGGGGCTATGATAGGGAAGTTTTCAATCTTCTTCGTAGGGTGGGAGTGGGAGTGATGAGAGAGTCTGAAGAATATTGCTATAGGTAATGAAGTACTTACTAATTACCTTTGATAGATTTGTCATGATACATTTCCATGGAGTGCGCATTTAGGTGGAAGTGTAATCAGCTGACCATAACATTGGATATACATGTTTATACATGGCAACATGGAAAAATTGTGTAACGCAAGAAAACAAAATTCAAGTATGCAAGGTTGGCTGATATATTCACGAGGAAGTAGTAAAGCACCGATACGACGATATAGGGCTGTTGTAATGACCTGTGGGAGTCCTAACTCCTCGCTAGCATCTCTGTGCTTCCACAAACACAATCCCTATCTTGTCTCCCTTTCTTTTTATACGATCCCTATATGCACTCTTTTTTTAATCCGCAGCATTTTTAATTTACTTGTAGGGATATAGGGATGGGCATGGTACCTAGCATGATAGATGTGTGTGGCTATGATATAGAGTTTTGTTCATCTTCTTCTCCTTCTTCTTCTTCAGATTCAACTCGCGTAACTAAAAACATAGTAATGATATCCGTCACCTTATTTGTTTGTAAACAACATTGTTTACTGTAAAACAACAACAATATCACATGTGTCAGTATAACTCACAAATGGTAAGAGCGAAACTTTGCAGACAGAAGGTATAAAAAGAAAGGTGAAGCATGGTGCTGACACGCAGACTCTATCACGCAATCCCTATGTGCAACTCCATATTGTACTCTTGGTTACTCAGTAGCATGACTTTTTTGTATTTTCAGGCTGTAAGTCCTTAATGTTGAATGTTTAATACTTCACCTAGGCAACAATATAGGGATTGCGTGATGGGGTCGGTGTGTCAGCGTGCTCAAATCTGTTCATTAACCATGCTTCATGTATCCCATCCCTATCTTGTCTCCCTTTCTATTCTCTGCAATTTTAATTTACTTGTTCTTTATACTGCTACGTATATCTCTGCGAAGGGGGGATAAAAAATTCCTGTTGTCATCATGGAAATGATGTAGTGTGCTGCCGTTAGCAAGTTTGAATAGAGAGTGCCTGAACAATATGTAGTCGTCAGAGAAATATGTATTTGTCATGGAAGTGATGTGATACGCATGTGTACCAAGTTTCATCTCCATGCGTGCTACCTTTAGAGAGTTTGAGAAGTGAAGAAAATTGCCGGAGGCTATTGGAAAGTGGTTGTCATGGAAATGATGCATGCATGCGTACCAAGTTTCATCTCCATGCGTGGTACCGTTAGGGAGTTTGAGGAGTGAAGAAGTGATAAAGAGAAGTGCCTGAGGTTATTTGTTGTTGTGGTCGTCATGGAAACGATGCAATACACATGTGCACCAAATTTCACCTCCATGCGTGCTACAGTTATCAAGTTTGAGAAGTGAAGAAGTAATTTTAAAAAACAATATCCGGTCGTCGTGGAAACATGTAATTATAACATACCAAGTTTCATCTCATGTGTGCTACCTAAAGAAGTATAAAAGTGCATTAGACTATTTGGTGTTGTTTACCAACATGTATTGTTGTTTTTTTGGTGACTCAATACATTATGTCTACAAAGTAAACAATGATGTCTCCAGTAAGACCAGTCTCTTCAGGTGACAGATATCTACATTAAGTTACGAGATGAACAAAACTCCCTATCATAGCCCCATCACTAAGTACGGTAGTACCTAGTATAACAAGTAAATTAAACATCCTGCGAATTTTTGTAAAAACGGAGACAAGATAACATGAAGCATGGTTAATGAACAGATTTGAGTACGCTGACACCCCAAACCCCATCACACAATCCCTATATTGTTGCCTGGTGTGCTACGCTTATAGGGGCTAAAGGTTACTAAAAAGCAAGCATTCTTTCACCGTGTCCCTGTTGTTTTTTATTAACATTTGTAGTGCCACATTCCCTTTCATTAAATTCCACTTGGTGTTGGTTACGCAGTGTATTGTAAGTTCTGATGGTGAATGTTTAATACTTCACCTAGGGAACAATATAGGTATTGTGTGATGGGTTGGGGGTGTCAGCGTACTCAAATACCATGCTTCATGTATCCCATCCCCTTTCTTTTTATACCATCCCTATATGCCTCTTTTTTAAATTCGCAGGATTTTTAATTTACTTGTATAATATACCATGATGCTATATAGGTACCCATACCATGCCCAGTCTCCTTCTCCTTCTCCTTCACTTGTAGATATCTGTCACCCGAAGAGACAAGCTTTGTAAACAACATTGTTTACTGTAAATAGCCCCAGGCAATACATTATCATAATTGTGTAACTCACAATTTGTAAGAGCTATGTCAACACTGGGAAAAAAATTTCATTTACAATGAAATGTCAGGTGACGTGCAAACAGGTTTCCTTATCTCCCTCCAGGCCACATGTCATGCACACTTCCTGGCCGTCGGCAAGTGACGTGCAAACAGGGTTCCTTATCTCCCTCCCGGTCTAATGCCGTGCACAGTTCCTGGCGATCGGCAGGTGACGTGCAAACAGGTTTCCTTATCTCCCTCCAGGTCTAATGCCGTGCACAGTTCCTGGCGATCGGCAGGTGACGTGCAAACAGGTTTCCTTATCTCCCTCCAGGTCTAATGCCGTGCACAGTTCCTGGCGATCGGCAGGTGACGTGCAAGCAGGTTTCCTTATCTCCCTGCAGGTCTAATGCCGTGCACAGCTCCTGGCCGTCGGCAGGTGACATGCAAGCAGGTTTCCTTATCTCCCTCCAGGTCTAATGCCGTGCACAGTTCCTGGCCGTCGGCAGGTGACGTGCAAGCAGGTTTCCTTATCTCCCTCCAGGCCACATGTCATGCACACTTCCTGGCCATCGGCAGGTGACATGCAACCAGGTTTCTTAGCCTCTCTCTGGATATACTAAACAAAACATTGAGAATAACATAATATCATTCTACACTGTGAACAAAGCTGAACAGTGCACTTAAAGCATTATCGGTTTTTTTTTCAGTTACCAACAGCCCAAGCTGCGATAAGGCCTGGTGTTGGAGCTGATCTAGATGAAAGACATCCAATAACTCTACGCTTTGTTTGACGTTGTGCTCGAGGACTCTTCTCTTTCTTAATTTCTTCATCAAGTTTCTGCTTAAATGCAGTAACTTCCGCAGACAGCCATGGCACAGGATGCACAAGAATGAATTGATCATCATCTTCACAACAGCTTTCATCACTCGACATTATTTCTGGCTTCAAAACACCCATCCATTTCTTCTTTTCATCCTCATTAAAATAGTTTCCTTTTCCTGCCATAGCTTTTCTGTCATTGTACTTCTGCATAAGTGGACATATAAAATCACAGTCAATAGTAGCAGCCATTATTCTCTTTCTCTTTGATCTATCAAAAAAAAGGCACATGGCCTAATCCAGCATGTTTTACAAAACACAAAATGCACATCACCATTAACGAAAAGTAGTTCTAAATTAGCCTGAAAAAAATGCGATAAATATCACCGTTGATTTGGGACAGTGCAGTCTACTCCCTGTACCAATTACTTAACTTTGAAGGTGCATATCTTAAAAAGAAAAAGGATTTTAAGGGCATGTTTATTGTCACTGTTTTAAGTCCTTAATCGAATTAAATAAGTCATAGTGTAAAATCAACAACATCTTACATAGTTAAAATAATATATAGTGCATATATACACGAGCAGGTTTGCACATCATATAGCCACGGTATAACAAGACAGTCTCTAACATAGTCCCAGTATTGCAAGACTGTATATAGCCTATTTCTGTTGCATACTACACGGGGAGCTGTGCGGGACATGCGGTGTTGCGCTGCGCTTAGAACGGCCTTTCTACTGGTATTTTTAAAGTTTTATTTGCTCCTTACCTGCACAATTTTCCTGTTCTACCTGTCTCTGACGTCATACCCAATGACGTCACGTAAAGTTGGAATGCCTAATTAAGCATGCAAATGGTAAGAGCTCTATATGAACGAAACTTTGTATACGCATGTAGCCAACATCAAAATCACAACAATACAATAACAACAAATAGCCTCATGCACTTTTCTTTTAAGTTTACTTCTTCACTTCTCCAACTTTCCAATGGTAGCACGCATAGAGATCAAACTTGGTATGCGTGCCTATTACATTTCCATGACAATTACATGTTTCCATGATGACCGAATATTGTGTGACAAGCCTCAGGCAATTTTCTTTAAAGCTACTTCTTCACTCCTCACACTTGCTGCCTATAGCACGCATGGAGGTGAAACTTGGTGCGCATGTGTGTTACTTTGTTACCATGATGACCACAACAACAAATAACCTCAGGCACTTTTCTTTAAAATTACTACTTCACTCCTCAAACTTGCTAACTGTAACACGCACGGAGGTGAAACTTGGTACGCATATGTATTACATCGTTTCAACAACAAATAGCCTCAGGCACTTTTCTTTAAAATAACTTCTTCACTCCTCAAACTCGTTAGCTGTAGCACGCATGGAGGTGAAACTTGGTGCACATGTGTGTTACTTTGTCACAATGATGACCACCACAACAAATAGCACCAGGCACTTTCTTTATAATTGCTTCCTCACTCCTCAAACTGGCTAACGGTAGCATGCATGGGGATAAAACTTGGTGCACATGTGTATTACATCGTTTCAATGACAACCACAACAACAAATGGCATCAGGCACTTTTCTTTAAAATAACTTCTTCACTCCTCAAACTCGTTAGCTGTAGCACGCATGGAGGTGAAACTTGGTGCGCACCTTATTTCCTCACTCCTCAACTTGCTAACGTTAGCGCTCGTGGAGATGAAACTTGGTCAGAATGCGTATGACATTGTGTCCATGGTCCATGACAACCACACATTTGATTTACTTGTATAAAAAGGGAGTAAAATGTATGGGAAAGCATAGGAAATGGTTTGGGATTTTAGATTTGTATGATAATAAACTGGATATTCTGTAGATATGTGGGACCCACTGTATATGTAGCTATACAATGATGGAAGTTGACTGAAAAATTGCAGGAACCTTTCCTGGTATCACTGCCTTTCACAACATTGTTAGGCCACTGAGTGAGTACAAGCAATACATAGGCACACAATTTAGAAGATTTTGCAGATGAGCACTAAAGTGCAAACCCCAGGCGAACTGCGCATGCGCGGCACCGCTAATTGTGGGCTGGGCCTACTAGTATACGTTTACTCGCGGAGAGTCTGACACGGGCTAGCTACAGTAGTAGATAGCATGAGGGAGTCGATACACGCCCTTCGTTGTGACTTCTTGTGCCTCCGAGGTACACAGAGCAAGCAGATCAGGTCGAGGTAAGCTAGTGCTAATTGGCAATTGGCTTGTTCACTTGGTTTTCACGCCATAACTTCTGAACGCGGCACTTTTAACGAAAATCGCCATTTTTAAAATCAAGCCAGTGTAGTGCTGAACCAGTCATCCCTCGCCTCTAACGCCTCTACATACAGAACAGTTTTTTTCTTTTGTCTACACTATGCATGGGTATGATGCTGATGCTAGCAAATATTGAACGTGTGATATTGAACGCTGTGCTACAATACGGAAAATAAAAGTATGCGGGCGGCTCCTTTGATCCGCCCACGCAAGTCACAATAAGTATGCTTAATATGCGAGGATGAAAGACTGCTGTAGCAGAGCAAACAACTAACGACAATACTTTTTCCACTCTTTTATGTTAGGGAGATTAAGACCTCATGTTGAGTCAGCTGATCGCGGACAGTTTCCTCAGTCATAGGACTGGTCTCCAGGGTAGTCAGGGTTTCCTCTGCCTCTGACATCCAGAGGCAGGGGACCAACATCTCCTGGTGTCCGTGGAGCTCCAGAAGAAGGTGGACACCCTTCGTATCTGCATGCGGATTTATGCATCCCTTATTATTAATGACCGTGGAACATAATAATTGGTGGTTCTATTAATGAACGATTTACATACAGAAAAGATGGGCCTGGCTCACTTAGCTCATTCGGTATTATAAAAAGAGCAGGTGCCGGAAAGGTTGCGCTAACTGCAGAAAATTGTATATAGCCTGAAAACAGATGACTGGATACAGTTCGTATGTTATACTGTCCAAAATATATTGCAAAGGGACATCTTGAAAGTGTAGCAAGAGGATATTGGGTGTATGCAAATTTGTGTTGATGAGTGACACCTTAGTTTAAGAAAATGGTATGTCAAGAATGCTTTGAAGATGAATAGCTAATGAGGTTCATTTTGGGCTAAGACACCTACTCGCAGGTCTCTTAGCGATAAGACACATGCGGTTAGGTGTCTTAGTTCTAACTAAGACCCTCCCGTTTACAGTACGCGCAGACCGGGGCGTCCAGAAGCGACGATCACGAGCTGAGACTGCTCAGACAAGGCCCTGAGTCGAACAGTTGCGATGCTGCTAATAACAGTTATTCTCAGTCATCGTCGACGAATTCTTAGACAGTGCCCGGTGTGGAATCGGCAGGCCTCTCCCCTGCCGGGCTACCGTCGAAAAGTTGAGGCGCCGCCGCTAATAGTCAGTACTTACCAGCATCGACGCAATCGTGGATTGCGCCCGGTGTAGGCTTGGGAGAACTCTCCTCCCCGGTGCTTTCTTCAAAGAGCTGCTACCAACCAAGGTTGAAGGCGGACGAGCTACAGCCAACCGTACGGCTATCCATTTTCTTAACAAGTAAGACGGCAGATTCGAGTGTCTTCATGGTTCTAAAGCCCGCATGGGAGGTTGGAATGCGCAATAGTAACCGAGGCGGAGCCGAGGTTTCTATTGAGTCATTCCAACCTCCCACGCGGGCTTTAGAACCACGAAGACACTCGAATCTGCCGTCTTACCTATACGAAGACACTATATATGAGCACTACTAAAAATGCATAGATTATGTAGAAGATAGAGACTCAAAGTGTAGTGGAAATAGAGAGTGATAGAATCTCACCGACTCGTCGTCTGAGGTCCAGCCAGGCTTTCTCCAGTTCCTGCAGGTTGCTGATCAGTATGGCCACAGCCCGAGGGTGTGCCAGCTGGAGGAGACGCTGACCCGCTCCCCTCACCCTCTCGTACTTCCCCTGCTTACCATGACTGAAGGCCTGGACAGATGGGAAGCGATATGATTACTATGGCTGCATGCATTTTGCATCTACAAGCCAACCACTTCTGCTTATTCAGAAAAGGTATATATCAGGTGCTAGCACTGAGAGTATATGCAGCCACTGCAGCTGATGTGTTTGTTCTATATACCACAGTGATTAAACAGCGTTACAGTGCTCCATCAGTTACCTTAATCTCATCAATCTGTTCCTGGAGAATGCCGGCGTCCTTGCCAGGAGGAACCATCTTGTCTAGAATCTCGCTCTGCTGCTTTATCCATTCCAGCAACTCAGACAGTCCCTCCTCAAATGCTCGGGCAGCCTGATATAACAATACATGTACTCAATAATAGTTAGACACTGATTCGAGGTAACTACATGCAGTAGAAAGCCGAGAGCCCCGGCATTGTGGCGCCCCGAGCGCAGCAAGGGTGCTACCCCCGGGGCTCAAGGCTTTCTACCGGCGCGTGGTTACCGAGGAATCAACGTCTAACTATTTTAGAGTGAGCACTTGACGCTCAGCGCTCTGGCTTTCCTCTTCGTTCGTATGGCGGAGCGCTTCTAACGATGACTCAATGGAGGCAGGCTCAGAGCGGCAGAAAATGCAGTGCAAGAAGAGCGAAGCGGCCGAAGAAGACATACGGTAGCGACTCCGCCTTCTTTTCAGGGAGTCTGCACGTGCACGTGGACGACGCGTCAATGTAGATTCAGTTGTTGATCTTGTTGTTTACATTTACATTTTGTTATGTTTCCTGTTTTATAATTTCTGTAGATTTACACTATACATGTAACAAACCCCAGAGAACATAATGGTATTTGCACAACATCCTGCATTCAGATGATCAGGTGGGCTTGCTTTGTTAGCCAACTATAGGTAAACACACTTGTTAAGGGTAAGCACAACCTATTTTACCTGATGCATTCTCTTAAAATATAGCAGACCTTTTGAGCTTCACCCAGACGCTTCTTTTTCTGAAGAGATTTGGTTAAGACTTTCGCCCACATGGTGTTCATCTTGGCCAGGTCCTGTTGGGTGCCTGCTGGGTCGTCCACCCCACTGGCATTGGCAGAGTCCACCCTTCTCTTGTATGACCCCAGCTCCTTTTGGAATGCCTACATGAGCGAGAGAATGGAAATTAAGAACTCTGAATAGTAAGATTAAAAGTACAAAAACAAAAAAGGGGAAAGGCTTAGAAACAAGATGCCTACGAGATCAAAAGAAGAGAAATGACAATGGGGATTGTTCAAGGAAGTTGAGTAGGTCAGCAAAAGCAATCAGAGTGTGAGTAGGATACCTCGTGAACATCAATGAGGTAGAGGACAGTGCTCATGTCACCGTGGACCGGCTCAGATTCATCAAGAGATGGCAGGACCTTGGCCATCCACTTCCTCAGTGTCTCCAGGTGAGCTCTGGAGAACACGTAACATATGTTACTATCACAAGACAGCTCAGTAATATTCGGGGTGTACACTAATCAATGCAGCTAGTATGTAAAAAGTTATGGAAACGCAATACATTTTCTGTGAGGAATCTTCCGTATGACATTTCTACTTAAAACACAAAAGACGATTGGCAAAACTTTCAACAAATTCATGCAGCTCTCCTTTTATATAGTCTTTGGCTGCTTGATTGTACACGTACACAGGGAACAGAATATCACACTTTACAAATAAAGAAAGGAGGAGAAATAAGAGATGGGTACCTGAACTGGCCAATTCCCCGGTAGGCGTCCTCAGGTGTGCCTCTGTTAACATCTGATAACGTTGGAGACTAGCATTTACCCTGTTTTTGAAAACATGTCTCTTTTCAGTTGTGACTGCAATGTGTGAAGTCTAAGACTTCCTACATTTGCTCAACTAACCAGTTTTACAATGCTGTCATCTACATACAGAATCCTTTCACCATTGTTCTCACAATTCATGCACTTGTCCTTGCACATCACTAAACAAACAGTAAAGGTGGCGACAATATAGGGCTTGTGTGGCGGAAATTTTACACGAGCAAGCGATGTCAGTTCAAAGTATGTAGCCATCATCCATTGTACTACTGCATCATGTTCACTAGGTCATCCATGTCTTGTCTCCTTGCATCCCTATAATCCACACTTTTTCAATTCGAAGAATATTTTATTTACCTGTCTCCTTTTCTTTTTTTACTGCATTCGTATGCAATAAAAAGGGATATTTTTGGGCATATTCCTACTTAGCCTTTCCCACTCCAATTGCGTAAAATTAGTTTGGTCTCTCATAAAGCTCACCATTCTTCATGCTATGGACTTGTTCATCCCAAAAGTACGTGTCAAATCCTCACCCAATCCAAAATGGTTTAATCCTGCGATTCGTCACACAATCAAATGCCTGCGCACTCATAAGAGAAAATGTCATTTCGTCCAACTCCTCACAATCTTTCTAAACTTCAATCTCTTCTATCCCAACTAAAAGATCAAACTTCCACAGCAAAATTGCATTATGAACAAGATTTAGCCATGGACCATCCCAACAAGATCTTCAAAAGTTTCACCTCAGCTCCTCCAGTGCCTCCAATTGTCTCTTTTGACTCTACAACTGCCTCCACCAACAGTGAGAAGGTCCTCTTGTTCAACAAGTTTTTCCACTCTGTTTTTACGCGGAGTGTCTACCAAATTCCTCCTCCGCACGAGCCAGTATCACCCACCCCTACCCTATCTGATACTGGAATCTCTGAATCCGATGTGTTTGAAGCCTTGTGTCCACTGGATACATCTAAAGCCATTGGAGTCGACGGTATCGGTCCTAATGTTCTTCATCACTGTGCACTTGCTCTCTATAAACCTCTCCATCACCTATTCCTACTTAGCCTTTCCCACTCCCACATTCCTGCTGAATGGCGTACACACTTGATCATTCCGGTCTTCAAGTCTGGTGACAAATCATCTGTTCGTAACTACCGTCCAATCTCCCTTCTATGTTCTGTTTCAAAACTTCTGGAAAAACTTATCTATGACAAAATAATACACTTTGTTTCTGCCTCAATTTCGTCATCGCAGTTTGGGTTCCGCCCCACAACTCAGAAAATACTCATTTTCCTCTATTCCATCCACGATTCTTTAAACTTAAACTGTCAAGCTGATGTCGTATACCTCGACTTCAAAAAAGCTTTTTACAGCGTTTCTCACAATGAACTGCTGGCTAAGCTCTGGACTTTCGGAATAACTGGTAATCTTTGGAGCTGGTTCAAGGCTTACCTTTCACATCGATCCCAACATGTGAAACTCAATCACTGTATCTCTGACCCTCTTCCGGTAATTTCTGGTGTGCCTCAAGGCAGTATTCTTGGCCCTCTTCTCTTCTTGATTTTTGTTAGTGATCTCCCTTCCTCCACTATATCCTCAAATGTTTTTCTGACACAAAATGCCTGAAGAACATTTCCTCTCTAACTGACTGTCATTTACTCCAAGAAGACCTCCTCTGTTTATCTAATTGGAGCCACAAGTGGAACCTCCAGTTCAACGAAAGGAAATGTGTGCTACTCAGATTCTGCCTCAGTTCACCTCGCATCCTATTTGATTACTCCCTAAACAGCATGCCAATCCAAGTCGTTGACTGCCATCGTGACCTCGGCATCCTAATGTCCTGTGATGTTAAATGGTGCCACCACCTTAGCTTTATATCCTCTCGAGCCTACAAAATTCTAGGTCTCATTATAAGGCGTTCCTTCTCATCCAGGTTACCTCTCTCATCCAAGAAGAAACTCTCTCTCTCTCTCGTCCGCTCTCAGCTAACTTATGCTTCACAGATTTGGAGACCCAACCTTCTAAAGGATATTTCTGCACTAAAACGTATTCAACGTCGAGCTACCAAGTACATCCTCAGTGACTTCAACTCTAACTATGGAGATCGACTATTGTCACTCAACTTCCTACCTTTGGTGATGCAATTAGAACTGTTTGACATCCTGTTTTTCATTCGTTGCCTTAAAGACCCCGACACCACCCAAGAATTTTCCATCCACTCTTTCGTGCAATTTTCTGATCGTAACACTCGGTCCTCATCTCACCTCAAACTGAAACATTCCCTGTCAAAATCAACCACGGAAGCTCATCTCTTCTTCAATCGTCTGGAACTCTCTTCCCCCAATAAACATCGATCTCTACATCTCTACAATAAAGGCCCATCTCCATAGACTATTCTGGATGAAATACCAATCCCACTTTGTCAGTTCAAATCCATGCTCTTATCACTACCAATGTCCATGTCCGAAGTGTGTTAGTATGTCTATAGTGCACACATTCTCCTCCTCTCAGTTATAGGACACCAGATTTGTCTGGTGTTCCTTCGGTACATGCTTTTTATTCATATCACCCATCCCGTTTTTCCCCCGTCCTTATCTATTCATGTACTGTAAAGCAGAGATAATAATTTTAAAATGTAATGTTAGTGGCCTTAAGCTATCACCTCAGACGTTTGGCGCCATTCACATTACATCAGTGCACCAAGTTTCATTGTGACAGGACCCATCATAAGCAAGTTATAGGCACTGGCACCATTTAAAAGTCACCTGAGGCTGTTTGTTGTTGTTTACAACCTTGTAATTTCTGTTTCGAAAGTTTGAGAAATAAAGAGCCTGAGGCTCTTCGTTGCTATATACAAACATGTATTGTTGTGATTTTGATGTTGGCTATTGAATATATTATACATCTTTCGTTCACATAGCTCTTACCAATGATTGTAAGTTATACTGACACATGTGATCCCATTATAATGTATTGCCTGGGGCTATTTGTTGTTGTTTATAGTAAACAACATACAAAAGTATGACGCTTAAGAATGTCAATTAGTCACGCTTAGGAATGTCACTTCCGTGATTCGTATATAGGAAGTCTAGCTTCCGCCCTGCGCGCAGATTCGTAGGAAGTCTGGCTTCGCGCGCGCACGAGCGGCAGTCGGAGTGTTTACGCATAAGCTGGCAGGCGGGAGGCAAAATATGCGCGTGCGCATTCCTAGTATCAATTTTTTTACACGCTCTTGCTGCTAGCCCGATGCCTAGCCAGGGAGAGAACTCTCGTCCATTCGGCTGCACTCTTTGGTGAGGCTTGCAATCTTCGTGGTTCCAAGCAGCAAGTTGTAAGTAGGCTCTTGTGGATGATTATAATCATTGCGTGCTCGCTAACGCTCGCCAAAAATGCTGTGCATTCGCCTAGTAGTAGGGATAATTATAGCTAGCCTTTATAGCTGTTTACATAAGCTAACGGAGCCAGGAGTTACTCAAGCCCAAGGTTGGAATGCCTAATTAAGCATGCAAATGGTAAGAGCTCTATATCAACGAAACTTTGTATACACAATGTAGCCAACATCAAAATCACAACAATACAATAACAACAAATAGCCTCATGCACTTTTCTTTTAAGTTTACTTCTTCACTTCTCCAACTTTCCAATGGTAGCACGCATAGAGATCAAACTTGGTATGCGTGCCTATTACATTTCCATGACAATTACATGTTTCCATGATGACCGAATATTGTGTGACAAGCCTCAGGCAATTTTCTTTAAAGCTACTTCTTCACTCCTCACACTTGCTGCCTATAGCATGCATGGAGGTGAAACTTGGTGCGCATGTGTGTTACTTTGTTACCATGATGACCACAACAACAAATAACCTCAGGCACTTTTCTTTAAAATTACTACTTCTCTCCTCAAACTTGCTAACTGTAACACGCACGGAGGTGAAACTTGGTACGCATATGTATTACATGGTTTCAACAACAAATAGCCTCAGGCACTTTTCTTTAAAATAACTTCTTCACTCCTCAAACTCGTTAGCTGTAGCACGCATGGAGGTGAAACTTGGTGCACATGTGTGTTACTTTGTCACCATGATGACCACCACAACAAATAGCACCAGGCACTTTCTTTCCTCACTCCTCAAACTGGCTAACGGTAGCATGCATGGGGATAAAACTTGGTGCACATGTGTATTACATCGTTTCAATGACAACCACAACAACAAATGGCCTCAGGCACTTTTCTTTAAAATAACTTCTTCACTCCTCAAACTCGTTAGCTGTAGCAAGATTTTGCAGATGAGCTCGCACTAAAGTGCAAACCCCAGGCGAACTGCGCATGCGCGGCACCGCTAATTGTGGGCTGGGCCTACTAGTATACGTTTACTCGCGGAGAGTCTGACACGGGCTAGCTACAGTAGTAGATAGCATGCGGGAGTCGATACACGCCCTTCGTTGTGACTTCTTGTGCCTCCGAGGTACACAGAGCAAGCAGATCAGGTCGAGGTAAGCTAGTGCTAATTGGCAATTGGCTTGTTCACTTGGTTTTCACGCCGTAACTTCTGAACGCGGCACTTTTAACGAAAATCGCCATTTTTAAAATCAAGCCAGTGTAGCGCTGAACCCGTTGGTGTCGCTATTTTACCTGTTTGTTGCACGTGGTTGCAGAAAACGTGGTAACACAGACAGACAGACAAACCAAGTACTGTAACCCCCGCTGCGCATGCGCGCCGAGGGTTAATTACCTACGAGTATTCATGTCAAAGCACACAAAATTTAAGAGATTTGCATGTTGTAATACTCACATTTTTTTCACAATGACGCATTATGCATCTTAGCTTCCTCTTCCCCTTCCCGCCGAAATGCTTCATGTCCACGCAATTGATGCAGGAACCGCAGTTGGGCCTCCTGCATCCATCACACCCGATGCAGCCTTTGCCTCTTCTTACTGCCATATACTGTTGGTTGAGGTTAGCCATAATTAACAGCAGAAAACTGCTCTAGAGGACTATATAATCAGTTCTGATGGAATACAACAACTAGTAACTATAGAGTCAAAACTTTTGTAAATATGCTCATGTTTTTCTTCTTACTATGCTCCGTTATGCCTTATGCTCTGGCGTTCTATTATGTTCAAATTTATGCTAGCATATATAATCCTCCAAGGCCCACGACGACCCGATCGCTAGGGCGACGTTAGTTTTTCGTGGGTTCACCGTTCACGCATGCTTCGTACTTCCCTAACTCTTTTGCTTCCCTGCACGGACGCGCGAGTGGTGTATCCAGGTGGGTGCTTTGGGTGCTCCAGCACCCCTCTTGCGCCACCACTTCGACATACAAAAGTGCCGCTCGCAAGACGCACTGACTACTACGGCGGGCGTCAAGCGAGTCAGAACTGCGCGAGAGCGAAAAACGCTTATGCGAGACCCCGCCGCTTCGTGCCAGAATAGCTGCAAAGAAAAGGCACACACACAGACCAAGTGTATCGTAACCCTCGCTGAGTGTTTGCACGAGTGTTAACCAGTTGGATAACTTGTGCACTCATTACTAGCATCCTAGCTGACAAATACACCATGTAAAATAGATAGAGCGATGTAGGTTAGGATTAGGAGGTTATGTTATAATGCTCCCCATACTATGGGCCACTAATCTCGTGCACAGACCCAATTTTGAAATATTGGTAGAGGCGCAACATTGCACGCCGCATCACAGCAGGGCTCTCAATTCTCTCACCGTTCAATTCTCTCTGGAGTAGAGGCGAAAGGACAGTTTCCGCAGATCGCAGTTGCTTGGTGATGTAGCGTCAGTCGCTATGGAGGAGCAAGCATCGATAATGAAAGCGAGTTTAGTTTTTATACGACCGCAAGTCGTCCAACTGCGCATGCTCCAGGCTTACGCGCTTGTGTGTAGCTGCGTAATCTCGCAATCGTGGAAGGATCAGTACAGGGAAGATGATGCCCTTCGTCGTCGAAGAGAGAGGGAAAGAGAACGTCGTGCCCGAGGCTCATCTGTATCAGCGTCGTTTGCGTGATGGGGAACGCGCTTATTTTCACACGCTGCCTAACTGTCATTGGCGAGCGGGAGCGAGCTAACCTAACGGCGCAGATTTTGGCGAGTGGAAGTGAGCTAACCTAGTGGTCCGAACGGCGGGATTTTTCATGTCACCGAACGTCGTCCAACTGCGCATGCTCCAGCAATACACGCGCTTCTTTTTATCCGAAAGGTATTTCAAAATTTTCATATGCTGCGGGGAAACGCAACACGAAAGGCTCGAACACCTCCGAAGCTATCGAGAATTGCTGCACAGTCCAGCGAAAGATTTTTCTATATACATTGCCACTTGTGCAAGACCAATCAGATTTGCCGGATTATGCCTGATTCGCGCTGTCGGCTGACTGTTACTCTCGAATTGTCTACTGCGCTCGGGTCTAAAAGGTTGTTTCGGCCTACTTTGTCCTGTGCAATGTAGCTATCTCACTGTTGTGTGCACACACAAGAGTGACTCATACGATTAGACCCCATTTGTAAGCTCGCTTCCGCTCGCCAAAAATGCCATGCATTCGCCTACTAGTTTATCTGTTACCAGGAATCCGCGGACATTACAAGAAAACATGCCTCTGGAATGTAAAAAAATCCGCGCGGGTGAAATGTATGGAGTTCAATGGGAACATAAACTTTCTTGCAGCGTTGCTTGATGGTCTACCAACTCCGGAGAGGTCCGAACGTCTAGAAGTGAAGAACGACAACTCTTCCACCGCCCAAGCACAAAATATTCACCGTGGAGCAGCTAGTCTTTCGGCCAACTACAATCTCCCGCACCGCATGCGTTCCCCATTGAACCGTGTACATTTTGAATGAAAATTTCAAAATCCGTGTGGGTCTAAACCTTTTTTGAGCGGCCATGCTTACTCTATTTTGAGGTCCAAACGTCTAGAACTGTAGAAGAGAGTCTAAAGTTTCAGATGAACCAAAAAAAGTTTAAATTTGTATGAAGGAAACTGGCCCGTCTGCCTCGAGGAACCGGGAAGACGCGTTTCTGTGTCTCACGCCACTTACTGTCATCTGAAAAGTCTTAGGGGTTTCTGGGGCAATAGGCCTACCTTTTGCACCGCTACAGAGTTTCCCCCGCTACTCTAAAGGTTATACCTAGCTGGCTCGTACTACTTACGACCGTACGTCGTCCAACTGCGCATACTCCAGGATTACGCGCTTCTTTTTATTTAAAAGGATTTCCATAATTTCACATGATGCCTGCCTGTGGAGGCCTGTGATGATGTCGTGCGTATATAATTGATTGATATGCACACCACCACAGGTGCAAAGACATACAACATAAAAAAAGATGATGATGTGAGTAGGAGAGTGATAGGGAGATAGAGCAGACCCCGTGGCCTTCTGGACTCTATCCCTTCGCCAACCGAGGGCTTACGGGCTCCTGGACCGACCACCGGCCTGCTCTGCTCTTATAAAGAGTAATCATGAGGTTGGGATTTCATAAACAACAGATTCAAAGGGTGAATGAAAGCCAAAATATTGACGAATAAACTGAATATTAATAGCACACAATACATCTTGATCAGAATAAAATTTTACATGTTGATAACCATATATATTGTTGTAGCCTGTGAAGGTATAAGAAAGATAACAGGAGTCAGAATACACCGATACAAAGGGAGAAGATGAGGAGAGAGCAGATGTGCGAAATGACATGAAACGCTTGAGAATGATGTTTCTGATGGCAGGAACATGACCGAGGCAATGACAAACAGCTGTGTGAGAGTTGCGAGGCAACTTCCAGATCCACCGTAGGTGATAGTTTAGTGCCACTTGAATTATATTTATTTCAGGAGTGGAGAGAGACCAGAGAACACAACCGTACAGGGATAAACAGAATGATTTTAAAAGAAAACTTTTGACAGATGGATTGACACATTTAAAGGAACTGAGAACGTAGTTGGCTTTGCGATTCAAATCTTTGGTGGCTCTTATGATGTCGTCTTTGTCCCGCAGGTTGAAGGTAAGAATGTGGCCGAGATGAGATACTTTGTCAGTGAATTGCAGTTTGTTACTATTCATGTATATCGATACAGGGTATTCTTGTCGCGGAGAACGCCGAAAGCAGATTAACTGTGACTTGGTGGTGTTGAACTCCAGACCACAGCAGGAGGCATAGTTACAGCATACTTATAGTCCGGGGAATATGCCCTTCGTGGTCGAAGAGAGTGGGAAAGAGAACATCGTGCCCGTGAGACTCCTGAGCAGAGAGGCTCGTTTGTATCAGCGTCGCTTTCGTGATAGGGAACGCGCAAATTTTTACACGCTAGCTACCTATAGCTGTGATATAGATGGGAATATAGCCAGCCGAACAAAAATGCCATGCATTTGCCTACTAGTATCGATGGGAAATCTAGCCAGCGAAAGAACTCCCGTCTATTCGCTGGGATTCACTGCGCTTTTGAACGAGGCTGTATAATTATACCTCTTTCCAATCTTCGTGGTTCTAAGGTTGAAGTTGTAAATAGGCTACAGTCATGATGAAGTGCTCGCTCCCGCACGCGCGCTATATACTACGTCGTGTGAGTGCGCATGCGCGGCTTTGTACGCACTTCTAATTATCCGAAATTATTTCCTAATTTTTACACCTTTCACACATGCCGATCTTGCCAGCTAGACAACCGAACTCTCCTCCATTCGACGGCATGCGGTGCAACCTTCGGTGACTGACCGAGGCTGTATCTCTTCCCAATCTTCATGTTTCCAAGGTTCGGATATCCCAAGGTTCAACTTGCAAATACGCATGCATGCATATATTGTTTGGAGTTATGAAATTTCTATTCACTGTGGAATTGTATATTCTACAAGTAAATTAAAAATCCTGCGAATTAAAAAAAGAGGCATATAGGGATGGTATAAAAAGAAAGGGAGACAAGATAGGGATTGGATACATGAAGCATGGTTATTGAACAGATTTGAATACGCTTACACCCCCAACCACAGTCGGATCTGACTGTGCGCGTCACAGTACGCCGAGGGTTTGCACTTCAGTGCTTTTCATTATGTTTCTGTTGTTGTCTCTGTTTTTTAACTCTCACTTCCACTGCATGCACTTTACACTCACCCAATAACCACTGATGTTGTCTCAGCTCTAGTGGTCTGGTGTGGGTGCAGGCAATTGTATATACTGTACTTGTTGTTACCTTCATGCATTTGCACAAAACACCCCAGTTATAATTAATGCACGTTCAGCTTGTAGCGACAGATTTTCCCCTCTCTCTTGTTGTTAGATATTGTTGTATTGTTGTTGTAAACTTCATGTATTGCATGGAGTCAATGCACACTCTATGTACATGTACTGTTTGAAGTATTGCATTTATGAATCATGTTTACCGCAATATGTTGCTGACTTCTTTTTATAGGAATTGATTGATACAAAAAAACATTTCATACACACTAACTAGATCCGTCTATGAGTCCCTGGAACCCCTCTCTCCTCTCAAGAATACTGGGAATTGTGAAAAACACGTGCATCGTGCACTATTCCAGGCCAACCAACACAAATATCGGTGAAAATACCGGAGTGGTCAACCATCCCCTGTAAAATTACAGAATGCCATCCCTTTCTGTTGTAGTAGTCCGCAGGGGTTTTCTGTGGAGCCTCAATTGGAATGTGGCTGCCATCTATCGCTCCACCACAATGAGGAAAACCTCTTTTTTCAAACCTGTTGATGACTGAAGTTTGGGAGCTCCCCACAGGCACTTTAATGTATTTCGGCAACAACATTTTAACTATAGATTTTACAAAATGGGCAGAGGCGTACGCAATCCCTAACCAGGAAGCAACAACAATAGCAAACAAGCTGGTCAACGAGATGTTGCTCAGATTTTCCCCGCCAGAACAACTGCACAGTGATCAGGGGCGGCAGTTTGAGTCAACCCTCATTGCCGAAATTTGCAAGTGCCTGGGCATTCACAAAACACAAACAACCCCCTACCACCCTCAATCTGATGGGCTGGTAGAGCGATTTAATCGCACCTTGCTGAACATGCTTGCTACCGCAATGGCAGGACACCCGGGAACCTGGGAAGATCACACTCAGAAAGTCCTCCTGGCATACAACACTAGCACCCAATCAACAACAGGATTTAGTCCATTCTTCCTGATGTTCAGCCGAGAAGCACGACTCCCTCCCCTCCAGCCACGGTAAACACTTATGCCATCGATCTTTCGAACACCATTCGTGAGGCCTATGCAGGAAAACTGGCGTTCATAGGACGAGAAGCTCGCGTGCCAGCTGTCCCATCTGTACAGAGTAGCTGTAGTCTTCACTGTCCCTCTCTTTCCCTCGCTTTTGTATATCACTAAGTACGGTAGGTATTAGTTAACGTATAGGCGGCGAGGAGGTACAGGATATACTCCGAGGCTGTTAACTATACCTGACGAGGGCGCATATATATATATATATATATATATATTTATTGTATTTTGCGTGGGCGAATCAAAGGCTATATTCATCATACAGAACAGTTTTTGAATGAACTGTACTATATCGTGTGGAACTGTACTATATAACACGAACTGTACTATATCCGCGGACTAGGGTACGCTTTGCGGGAATGATGCCTCGGCGGCCTTTCGTAGACGGAGTTCGACTCAGACGGTTACACAAACCGCTGCTGGAAGGGCGCTCCGCGAGCTTCTAGTCCTCTGAACGCCGGTTTTCCTGGTGGCCGCCTTTGAATCGCCCACGCATACAATAAATAACTTAATGTACAGAAGCACGTGCTGTGCGCGTGATAATGGTACTCGGAACACGTGCACAGCACTGACTTCCGTACATTAACTATTACATATATGATGTTATTATGTAGTGCACAATAATAGAACATACTTGTGCTTCGTTTCTCTCTGTGTTCTGCAGGATCAGCGTCCTCCTTCCAGTGATAACCTTGTATATACTTGAGGCTGGAATACTGGAGAGTGTGGGACTGCTCCACTCATAGGGGCTAACTGTTGCAGCTGGATTCCATGACAAAACAGATGTGAGTAAAGGTTTTTCGAGTGTCGGTGGTGGTTGTTAACCACTGCAGTTAGACCCGTTCTGGATTGGTTTATCATCTCCAGACTGGTATTCTTGGGAAAGTCTTATCTCTCACCTCTCTCCTACTGGTGAACTCTGTGCCTCCCGTGTTGTTTTTCCCGTCATGTGCATTGTTGGGTCACCTGAGAAATGACCAAAGGGGGCAATGGCATTTGTAGTCACATGCCAGACTTCCATTCTTCCCTTTCTTCTCTTCTTCCTTTCTTCCTCCCTCCCTCCTTCACTATTTCTACCTCCCTTTCTTCTCTTCTTCCTTTCTTTCTTCCTCCTTCCTTCACTATTTCTACCTCCCTTTCTTCTCCTTCCACTCTCCCTCCCTCCCTCCAGCTATGACAAGCCAGAGTTCAAGGTGGTATAGAGAATGAGAATGGGGTCAACAAGCAATTTGCCAGTAGGCATCCTCAGTGACAAGTGACAAGTCGATTTAATTTCCCGAGGTCAGTGACCTCCAGCCTGCCACGAGTAACAGATTCGGATCCGCTGTGGAGGTCAGTCTGTCTGTCTTCTCTTTCTATTCGTACATCCACTAAATATGGTGTAGTGTGTAGCATGGACATGTGGACATGTTACAGTTGAGGTGGTGATAGTGTCATGGTAGGACTTCTGAAAGAAGAAACCCCTGTTTTGTATACTCACTTTATGGGGATACCTCACTAAATAAGGTGTTTATCACCTTTACACCATGAAGGAAGTCTTTCTTTCTCTATTCCTCTCTCACTCCCTCTCTAGCCACTGATGTTGATGTGATCCGAATCTTGTATACTTGCATGTGCATGTGTGTAAATTGTGCTCACGCACGATAGGTATAGCACATGTTCTACATGTAGTTATAGTTCAGGAGAGGAAGGGTCTGGTGGGGTCTGGGCACGAGACTAGTGGGGTACTAAAGTGTGATGGCAGATAGGACAGGATAGCATAGGACATGTACCAAGCTGGGTGGTATTCAGCTGGAATTCCTTAAAAGTAGTCTATGGTGCAAGGACAGTAATGACACACACACACACAAGTGCAACATATGACATTCCCGAGTGTGACTTTATTGGCATTCCTGTTACATACGTAGCTATGCAGGCTTAGCTCCTGAACCATTATGCTAGCCATTAATGTATGTGACTCTATTAAGTACTGCCCAACCTCATTGCCTAATGTGGTTGGTTTGGAGGTATCGTGCAAGGGTCATCCCAATTCAAGGGATTTTCCTTTTTTAGGCTCTATGCTCATCTTACCGGGGGCCCTCAAGGCGCATGCTCAGTGGGCGGGCTTTACCTAACGCTGGCCCCCGTACTTACCAGGGATAAAGATGATATAATTAAGGAGCACCTACGCTTTATGAGAGACAATCACATTGTAGTGAAGCCTGAGCTTGAATGCTTGCCATCGTTTTACTGGGTACACTAAATTACATAAGCAGCCTTACGGTAACAGGTTTATAGCTGCGTCTTATAGGTGTACTACTAAGCCTCTTTCAAAACTGCTTACAAGTTGCCTACGTAAATACAATCATTAACCACTTCAGCAACAGAGTTTACTGTAGAACATGTGTGAATTACTTCTGGGTGATAGATAACTCACAGCAGGTGCTTAGTACATTAAAAAAGATTAATTCTTTTTCTTCAGCGAAACATTGTAATAGTTTTTTTCTACATTATATTATACCAGTATTCTGCATGACTCCCTAAAACAAGCCCTGAAATATTTGATTCAGGAAGCTTATAGAGTTAGAGACAACACCTTTCTTGTAGTACGTAGCAATGGCAAGGGGGTTTGGTCGGATGTGCCATCTGCTAGACAGAGCCTGACCGAAGATAAGCTTATTACATATGTGGAATACCTCATAACAAGGTAACAAGGTCTATAGACAGTGTGTGGGCATCCCTATGGGCACTGATTGTGCTCCATTATTGGCCAATCTGTTGCTGTTCTTTTACGAGTACAGTTACATGAAAAACTTGATAAAGAACGATATATTCATGGCTAGGAGGCAATACAATGAGGTACATAGATGACCTTCTTATACTACTTATACTGGGGTTTGGTCGGATGTGCCATCTGCTAGACAGAGCCTGACCGAAGATAAGCTTATTACATATGTGGAATACCTCATAACAAGGTAACAAGGTCTATAGACAGTGTGTGGGCATCCCTATGGGCACTGATTGTGCTCCATTATGGCCAATCTGTTGCTGTT